AATTATTTTCATTTACCTGTGTTTAAAGTTATTGCAAACGGCTGATATTTCTGTTCGAGCAGATTGTTTTTCTTTAATTGTTTAACATTTCATACCGATATAACATGTTACTTTTATTATTCTTCCCTTAGTTTATTTATTTTGTATTTACATTGTATCATAGGTCAAATTTATTTGTTCAGTGTATGTTCAATGGTGTTAATATGTCCTTTGATTGAGTTAAGCTATTTCAGTTGATATTTTATAGTGTGTCTTTCTATGTTGTTATGTTACACTATTGTTTCAGAAAAAGGGTGAAGGTTTGGTACCATGAAAACGTTTAAACCTGCTGCATTTGTTTGCACCTGTCCTAAGTCAGGAATCTGATGTTCAGTAGTTGTCGTTTGTTGATGTGGTTCATAAGTGTTTCTCGTTTCTCGTTTTTTATATAGATTAGACCGTTGGTTTTCCCGTTTGAATGGTTTTACACTAGTAATTTTGGGGGCCCTTTATAGCTTACTGTTCGGTGTGAGCCAAGGCTCCGTGTTGAAGACCGTACTGTGACCTATAATGGTTTACTTTTATAAATTTTGACTTGGATGGAGAGTTGTCTCATTGGCACTCATACCACATCTTCTTATATCTAATGACTTAAACGCGGACCGCAACGAGGACACCAAATTGAACTGTGACGTAAACAGTAATTTGACATAACCGTTCGCTCGCAAAAGAAGCAGGATACCAGGAGACTATATACGTCTAATATACGTATATCGCTTCGTGTTATCTGTACACCTGTATTGGTATAGTAGAAAGGTCGATTGCAAGATAAAATTAACTTCTTACTCTACCACCAATACCGAAAGGCATTCTGATCTCTATTGTTAATTTCTTTTATAGCTTTTCTTTTACAAATGCAAGATATCATATGGAAAAAAAAAATACAGTGCAAGAACTAGTTATCATTGATCATGTTAAAATTCTAATACATTCCAATGATTTATAAGCCATGATATGTTAAGAAAAATAATTTCGCACTTAATACAATGTAGAAATAAACTGAAACATCCCAGGAGAAGAAGGCATTTGGGAAAATTGAAAAAAAAGAAAAGAAGAAAGCAGCATCATGGAAGGACAAACAAAGGTTCATTATAAAATCTCATCAAAGATACCAGGCTTATAATTTTGTACGCCATACGCGTGTTTCGTCTACAAAAGACTCATTAGTGACGCTCGATTCAAAAAAGTTAAAAGACCAAATAAAGTACGAAGTTAGAGAGCATCGAGGACCAAAATTCCGAAAGGTTTCGCCATAAAGTACTTCTTTAGAAGGTAAAGAATGAGCATCACGAGCCCAACTCAGAGTTAGAAAAACACTGGCGCCCTGTAAGAATATGCAAATCATAAAGGTGATTTTATTGCTTTCAGCTTTTGACACCTCCAAATTGAGAACACAAAGGAACATACAAAAAGATAAATTAAGGTTGCTATCGCAATGACCAAATATATAAAAACATGTGTGAACAAACAATACAGACAAAGCAATACTTAAATCTGCTCAGCACGAACTCACGAACTCCATCTAAAACTCGGTGGTGAACTCAAGTGTTCGGGAGAGGCACTTTGTCCCTGTTTCGTTTGTAATGAGCGTGTTGTTCGTGGCAATTAAAATTAATGTGATCATTTGTATTCACTATAAAAGCGGACGAAATTGTGGCCGCAAAAAAAGAACATATACATGTTGGATATTCCTTAAAATTATTTTAAAGATTTGTTGTGGTATAAATGTCATATTTTGGTAATAATTTCGGCAAGTAGCACAAAAGAAAAAATAAGCAGACGAAAACAGAATATGAAAGATTTCACACAAGTAAGACGGACTATATTTATCAAATCTTTACAAGATGCTTTCGATAATGCTACATCTATTATTAAATTTATAGTACACAGGTGAATAGTAATATTAATGAATAATTGAGTAAAACCGGTAAATAAATCTAAAAAAAAGCTGTCATAAATTGCCAGAAAATCTTTAATTAATTGTTTAGTGTGGCATGATCTGCAAGTTATTATAAATCCACTCAAAACAAAAATGTTCAGTTGAATTTTTTACATGAAAAATATTTCAAAACGGCAGTACATATTTTGTCATAAATCAGGTCGTTATTTTTCTCATTGAATTGTTTTACATTTAGTCATGCAGGGGCCATTTATTGCTGATTATACGGTTTGAGTTTTCTTATTATAAATGGCTGTGTGATGACCTATAGTTGCTTACATCTATGTTATTTCGTCTCTGGTAGATATTTGTCTCATTGGCAACCATACCACATCTCCTTATATTTATATTGAATATGGTGTTCCATAAACAAATACTTCAACATCACATAATATCATATAGTCACAGACACTTGTCTCTGAAACAATTCATACATACCTTAATATAACATTTTTTTTCAAAGGAAAGTGTCTGTGCACATAATTCAAACAATTATGCAGACCACTGATATATGAAAAATTAAAAAAAAAATAAAATTTAGATAACCCGACTATTAACATTATATTTTAAAAATACGATGTCCTGCTTTTTTCTCTTCGTTTTGCAATTACAACCATGAAAACAAGACTACGATTAATATCCTTAAATTTTAGTATTCAAAGTAATTATAACATTCACCACTATATAAATTTCTTGTAGTCATCTAACATGAATGGCGTTTGTAGTGCTGTAGTATTTTCTCAATTGATTTGTCCTCCCTTCCGCTGAATATCAACAGCACAAAATTCAGTTGTCAATCAGCTATGAGAGGACAAACTGATTAAGTCCAAGGTTTAAAGCTAGGTCATGCCAATTTGGCTCTCGATTTTTTGCTAGCCAAAAGGTTGACTTTTTCAAATATAAAAAAACAAGAACAAAATTTAAAGGAGTTGATACGAATAATGAATCTTTTCTATTCTATTATAATGTCTGAAACTTGAATAATTAGTGATCCAAGAAGTACAAAGAAGATTTTACAAAGCTCTAAAGCCAAAGGAAAACGTGATATGGTAAATGTACAAACTGTCTTTTAAATAATCTAGTTCTAATTGATATATCTGGCATGTATCTGGAAATTAAATGACGATAACTTGAAAAAGATCGGAGCTGAAAGTCCTTGGACGCTTCGTTTTTTCCCCAATTAAACATAAAATTGAAGATAACAAAAACGAAAAATATACAATACAAACTAAGGTGTTATGTTTTCTTCCAAAAATGGCAGGTAACATTTTGTCCCAAGAAAACATAATGAAGGTTTTTTTTATAAGTACTAAGTTGGTATCAAAACGTATTGGTTTACACTTTTGAAGATATAACCTATATGAGCAAAATAGCTGCTGAGTAAACCAAGCAAAAAGCAACCCTTACAACGCAATAAAAGCTAAAGAGACATTTACAGGTGAAGAAAAGGAAATGAGGCCATATGTTACTAACGCATTAACCCATCGACACAAATAACCAAAAGACATCTAGTGGTCAACTTATGGTCTTTTCAATACCCTGCCTTCTATACCATTTACCAAGCTATAATTATAAACCATTTGTAAATAAACTGAACAGAGACTAACAACGATCTGCAACCATCTATCAAATTCATTACTCAATAAAAACAACGAACAATAAGTTAAGCAAGAAAAAAACTCACGACTTCCTGACTGTATCCATTCCTTTTCTTTTTTAGATTTTCATTTTTGGGGATGGAATAAAATCTTGCATCAAAGTTTACCATACTATGGTCTCTAAATAGACAGTTTTTTTATCACTCTACCGCGTTAATTGCCAAGCAATATCTAAGACCTTGAGATTTTCAAGTCGGTTTTTACTTCAAGCTACATAATGAAATATAATACCATTGACTTTTGTATTTGAAAAATGTTCAACTTGAAATACGCAAATCTAAGCTTTTGCTAAAATTATAATAAAAGAATTATTAAAATGATTTCAGATTTTCTCAACCGGTTAATTATTTTGGTCCATCCTGCAAAAAGACGCTGATACTTGCAGTATAAGTTCAATTTTCTCATACATTCGCTCTGAGAGACGTGCTTTGCACTCCAATAACAATCATTCAGAAATATTTAAATATTTAAGATATTTTCTAAATCTATTAATATTTTCTTCGTTTTTAAGAATTTATTTAAATTGGTGTGAATAAGTTCCAAAAAAGAAGTGATATCTGAGAGGCACTAATTAAATAGAAAAATGAAATTATCAGGCTCAGTTGAAAAGATGTTTGTTTAGGTATGCATGCAAACATGGTAAACTATTAATTCCTAAATGAAACTCCTCATTTCCAAGGGTTATTTCAATTAGTATGAATAGGCAATGGTTCTGAAAAGACACTGATATTTGTAGAATACTAATATCATATAGTAACGAAATCATCGGGTTCAATTAAAAAAGATTTTTGTGCATGCGTGCACAGAAGTTGGAAAATTGTTTTCTTGCATTAAAGATCTAAGAGTAATGCAACTGATGATTGTTCTGTCATAAAACTTTGAAAAATTAAATGAAATGTAAAAAAAAGCCACAATTCTGTTGATCCAATTACATCATCGGTGAAAGTATGAGGGTGTGGATAGGGTTTACAGAATAGAGAATAATGAGCAAAATGTGCAGAATGAAGGGTAAAATAAAGAAAAGAAAAAAATAGACCAAAAAGTAAAGAATAGAGAATAATGGGGTGCTAAAATATAAAGAATGGAGAATAACAGGCAAAATTCATAAAGAATAGAGAAAAATGGCCTAAAATTAAAGAATACAGAAATGAATAACCCTCATCCAGACCCTCAATTCTACCGCAGTATTTAAGTTTCTTGATGAATAGTTACGATCGGAACGATCTGACAACTGTAATAATGAAACATGTTAAAAAATATTAACCAATATTAACCAATATTAAAAGTAAAAACTGAAAAATTATGAATAAATCTAAGTAGTTAAAACTATTCAGAGGCATATGTAATGTCTTAAATAAACTTACCAATAATATAAGTGGTGTAACCTAACTCCCAAAACAGTGTCTTTCCAAATAAACTTCAACAGACACCTCATTTAAGTAATACCCAAGTGACGCAGTTTTCCATCGTATTTATTCAATGAATTAGCTGTATAAAGTAGACAGGAATTATTCTTTAACAAATCCCTAACAATTAAATAGCATATGATTCGTAACTAAGAGATGCCTTGTAAAACCAATAAAAGCAATGCGATTGGCCAATGAGCCCTTTGCCCACAGCTAATGGGGGTGTTCGTTTCAGCGTATTATAATTCAATTAACTCAAACAGACGCTGAAAGGCAGTAAATTACGATTTCTACTGAATTTGTTACTTTTGAGATTTTAGAATGAATGAATATGACTTGTGACGTGCAAATTAGAGAAGATTTTATTGGATAACTTTTTAGTCACAAAAGCTTAAATTCTTGTTCTATGGTTTTGTGAAAGATTTAAATAGTTAATTAGTAAAAGTGTCAACAAGTAGGAAATATATGCACATATATATAATTAGAAATTATGATATTAATAGTATCTTCATATTTAGGTATTACATTCTTTCTGAAATGGGAAAAGAATGTTTACGAGATGGATCAGATTTTTATCTTGGATGTATACGAGATACACTTGTAACATATCTATCATGATATACTAGTAAATAACCAATTGTTCTATGGAACAACATCTTTGTTGTTGTGTTCCATTTAAACAGTTGCTGGGCTAATGATTTTAGGTACCATAAACAATGATGTAAACGTTGATTTGAATAAGATACCAAAATAAAACCCGGATGTCATTCTTACTTACTTGTGTATCATTTTCTGTTTTCTGTATTCAATGCTTCAAACATGTTTTTCATAACCATGTGCGAATCCCTAAAAATGTAACAAAAGCGATGTTCCATTGTTTTTTTGGGGGGTTGGCAAGTATAACTCTAGTTATTTTTTGTCATGAATCAATACACTGCACTCTTTCTTTTCCATGATATAATCATTTATTACAAAGTCTTTTGGGACTATAGTTAGCAACTATAAAGATAGAAACTATCAATGCGTGTATATTTATAAATCAGCATTCATTTTCTGGAAAGAAAATCACGGTTATTCCATAGCTAAGAACTATTGTCTTCCACTTTAGAATTAATATCACCGGTCATCGACAAAAACTTTGTAAATTAATTGAATATTTTTACATTTCGCATTTAAAATCTAGGCTACCAACTTTTTTTTAGAAATCAGGTAGAAAAATAAACATTGCACGGCAAAGACTGACTCGGCAAAACGGTCCCTATGATAAAATGAGAGATTGCAAATAGATGCTCCGGAAGGATAAGCAGTTCCGAAAACTAGAAATAGGAAAATCAAATTGGCTTAAATCATATGCAGCATGAACATTACTTAAAGGATTGAACGATCAGCTACCGGATAATTTATTTATTAATATAGATATTAACTTAATTATTAAAATAGATAGTTTTGAACAAATACGGTTAATTTTTGCTTGATCGAGTGGGAAACGTAGCTTTATAACAATTTCACTGAAATAAAGATATTGGAGATGCTGAAATTAATTATAATTCACTATGCTGTGACTTCAAGACTTTCAGATAACGTAATTTATACAACACATGAATATTCAGTGGCGTTTTTGGTATTTTTCTTGTACATTGATAGCTTAAAAAAACAATTTCATATTGTTTATTGGTACAGAATTGACAAATTCTCTATGGTAAATAACTGATAATGTTAATCTGGCCATGTATCTGTGTCTACTAGTAAATTGATATAGAAATTTGCACGCTTATCTATTTATCTAACATAACATATTTTGATTTATATATAATCATAACAATTTGATGAGATAAATATGTTGTTCAAATTGATTTGTCTGGAAAATGATTTTTATTTACATTGATGTTGCATAATTCAACAGTATTTTTTCAAAAACGAAAACATTGGATAAAATTTATTTCATCAAAATTGGAAATGCGACCTACAGGTTATTGTAGAAGTAACAACGGCAACAAATAACATGAATCTAAAGTTACTTTATATGTGGCCATGATAAGGATATGAATCGCTTCTTAATCATGCGGGGGGACAATACCAAAGAGGCATGCAGGCCATTAAAAACCATAAGACAAAGAAAAAAACAGACAACACCATGACCAAACGAAAAACGGGGTACATTTTTCATGTCGGGGCCTTTTATAGCGGACTATACTGTAATGGTATTTCTCATTGTTGACCTATAATTGCTAATGTCCACGTTATTTGGTCTCTGGTGTGTAGTTGTCTCATTGTCAATCATACCGCTTCTTCTGGTTTTAACATTTAAGACAAACAGTCAACCATTTTTCGTTCCAAATATTTTAATTGTACTGTAACACGTTACTACTTAAATTTTGGTAGGAGAACGTTTTAATATTTCATGATTAGTGTTTCTTCTTTTTTTTAGCAGTCACTGTGTAAAATATCTGCCATTGGATTTAATTACAAGTGGGTGAAGCAGAACCCAATTCGATGCTAGTTTTGATGAAAAAAGATACTTGCTAATAAAACAATTGTATGATCTGATTATCATTTTCATGCCCTCTGCACTTTTTGTTAGACCGGTAAATTTATATCAACAGGCTATGGTTGAAATAGCAAAGACAATAATTAGCATACATTTAGCAAACATATGTATCGTTATTTGATATCAATGAAACAGAAAACTAACAACACAAATGACAAAAAAAACGTATGTGTTCGTTCTATATCCTTAATTGGAATTGTCTTTTTATTTAACATTTTAAAGAGTTATTATTTAGATTTTAGCAAGAACACAGTACACTATTAAGGTATTGTCAATTTTTCTTCTTTTTAATTTTTATCAATCGCAGAATATAATGACCGTAAAATGAATGCGGCAAAAAGGAGCACAATTTTTTAAAATGACAACTATGATAAAAATTATGCCAAGTAATAATAGAAAGTTATGCTCTGAATATCTGTTTCATACTCCTCCTTTTAAGTAGGACAAACAAAAGTGAAAAAAAGTCAAGAAAATTGTTAATTAAAAGACTTTCAAACTTTCAAGGTTTCTATCAAAAAAGTTCATAACTTAATTACAATGATTTATTAATTGGTTGTTATAGAAAGGTGAATCAAATTCATCTGTATGTACTTTCTTCGTACGAGAAACCTAATTCTTTTCACAATTAATGACGTTTATCTGAAATACGCTCTCGAGTATTTTTTTAATTTTGTAAAATTATAGAATCAATGATTGGGTATAACCCATTTGTACTTTCACAACCACGATTCGACATTGTAGTGTTTCAGAAGCCTTATTTTAGAAGAAAAAATTGTTCAGTCTGCGTTTTATTTTGTTAGCTTATCTGACCAAAGAGCCAGTATGAGTTATTGGCTAATCATTGCAGGAAGAATCGTCCATTGTATGTTCGTTATTGGTCCGTCTGTTACCTTTCGCATTTTTAACAACTTTATAACAACTAAGGAAAATTGTCAATAAACATTAACATGGATAATTTATAGCTTTATACACTCAACATTCAATGAATGTAAGTTTTATAATTATATAAAGCCGTTGGTGATGAAACCACACGTAAATAACATTGTTAAAATTCTACAATGTCAAGCCACGTGTCTAGACTTTGGGTAATTTACACCTTAACATATTGTATAGGCACCTGTTCACTGGGTTGCTGTCTACTGGGAAAGATCGTTTTTTACCCCTAAAAGTCTTTTAGTTATATAATTCGTTGTGATACTTTTATTGAACAGTGCGTATACTAATTGTAGAGTTGAACTAAATATTAGGTATATATATATATCAACTATGCTAGCACTTTAGCGCCTTTCATCAAGAATACATTCATACTGTGTTTAATACCATAAATATTTATATGTTTAATACCATAAATGTTTAAGTAAGTATAAAAAAATGTAAATATATTTCCAATTTTAAATATGTTTATAAAATACTGGGTTTCATTTGACATTTCTAAAGCCTTCACTAGATGATAAATAATGAAAGAACCGTATGTTCAATAAATTAAGAGCATACTAAATTACGGCCTACTCGCAAATATTCAATAAACTTATTTTTTTATCCGTTTTAAACATTTTTAAAATATTTATTGAGACATTTTCGGAAATTAATAAAGTATTTATACGGTCGGAAGAGTTAATCCAAAGGGAAATTGATTGAAGCAATTCTATATGCATGTATACTTAAAGAGGCAGTAATTCGGTCCTGACATGATTTATAACATACTATCTTAAAAGTCCTGGATATTCAATTAAGAAATTATAAAGAAGCAAAGGTTCCAACTCCCTAAAACAAAGTTGACATTAGATGAATATGCTATTCTTTGTAGGCCCCTTTCGGTCATATAGCTCTTAACAGTTCAACGTATGTACATATCCCTAGCTTTCAGATATGAAGGCATACCCAGAAAAGCGCTGAAAGTATACCAAGAAAAGTGCTCAAAGTATACCAATAGAAATGCACTATTTATAACGTGCTTTTTATATTTACTAAAACTGGATCGATTCCCCTACTGGTGGACTGTTAGTCCCCAAGGTTAATATCATCTCAGGAGTCCGTCCTTTGGTACTGATATTATTATTTAAAGAATTCCCCGTTGAAAATTAATAAAATTATTAAGAAATTAAGTTTCCAACTCCCTCAAGCAGAGTAGACCTGAGATGAATTTGTCTATTATTTTTTTAGATCAATTTTCATCATTAGGCTCCTAACGTTTCTACGTGTTTACATATTCCGGGATTTCAAATGTTTTGGCGATCCCGATGAATGTAAATCCAGAAAAGCGCTTCAGACGCACGAAAGTTTTATTTTCATTGGGGGGAGGGTGGGGGGAGGGCGGATAAAACATAATCGACCTCTTCAGGTATGGATGTTTTGAAAATTATATAAATGTAGTGCTGAAACATGATATACACAATATCCAGCTGTACTTTTTTCTTTCGATTTTAATTTACTATGACTTAAAAAAATAGTTAAAGTACAACTGACAGTTCAAAATATAATGCTACAAAATAGGGCAATTTGACTAAGTCATGTTTAGTTTAAGG